ATTGCTTTAAAAAATAAAAATAAAACCTGCATTAGCAAAGTCGGAAGAATCAGCAGCCTATTTAAGCTGGCTGCTTTGTTTCCTAAGTAACAGAAAAAAAAAAAAAAAGACAGGAGTGCCTGGCGTGCTCTAGTCCATGGGGTCACGAAGAGTCGGACACGACTAAACGACTAAACAACAAACAACAACAAATGGACAACAGCAACCCTGCACTCTGTGTGCTTATGGCCAGTATATTTTTTTTAATGGAATGAGCAGTGCAATTTGCATAGGACCAGCTCATCCATCGAGTGAATGGGCATTTGTCCTGAGCATCCACCCATCTGGGCAAGGATGTTGGGATGCTTCTCAGGGTTGTGTGGGGAGCTTCTGCACCAGCAGAAACAGCTGGAGACACACGAGGTTGAGTGAAGGGACACTTCTACTGCATTGAAACCTCCTGCCATCTGGCAGATTGGGGGTTTGGATTGCTCTGGCAAATGTTCCAAACAGGGTTGGTTTGAGGCAAAACAGAAAATGGTGTCACTGTGTCATTGAGGCTAATGAGCGGGCTGGCCCTGGCTACAAATGCTTTAGACTTTTAAAAAAATCATAATAATTTATCTTCAGAAAAATAAAAACCCACAACTACGAATATTCACAAGAGGAAATAAACATACCCAAAATGCTCAACCTATTTGAAGAGGCGAGAGAAGAGAGAGGAAAGGAGGTGAGAAATAGATAAATGCAAACACATAGTGTAATTATAATAATCCCAACAATATTTGTGGCTCAGCATTCTCCTGTATTTCATTGCACCAGTATGTGATTCAAGGTGTCCACCTTTAAGCAAAATAATTATTCAACCACCTACCCTTACCCTAGTAATATTCATAGTTTCTTTCTCCTTCAGGCCTTTTCAGGGTTAACTAAAAAAATTTAAATCCTGGCGTTAGCCTTTATAACATGGTCTAAAACTACAAGATGGTAAGTAGATGTAATAGTGAGCTTTGATCTGCATCATAATCCTTGAAAAACCAGACAATCTCAGTCTCAATTACTTATTTATAAAGTGGGAATAATTAGTAATCGTGGATAAAGGAAATGATGTCATGTTAAGAGTGCTGAGGGATAAGGAAGGCCATCAATCTGGAACTAAAAATACCATAACGTTAATTAAGGCTTAGATTCAGAAAAGTCTTACTGTCCAGAAGAGGCACTTACTGAACCCCTTCAATTTTATAAGCATATTGTGATGGGATGATGAGCTGCTTGTGCGTAAAATCGTATCCCCTCAGAGTTTGTTCAAGTCCACAAACCTCTGTCTGTGACAGAGCCCCTCAGACATGGCTACTCTAGTCACTAGCAGATTCCGACAGTGGTTGCTTTCGTAATCGCTTCCAACATAAAAGCTCCTTAACGGAAACACGTCTTCTGGAATCTCTGCGTGACAGTTTCCGGCGAGGAGTGGGTGTTCTTACAGGAGGTCCTGAAACCTCTCCACTGTTTTCGCTGGAAGTGTCTCTGAGCCATCCCTCCAGCTCAGCTCCTCTCCCCTGCTGGTTCCCTCATCAGCTGCTGCGTCTCTCCCAACCTGTGTGAGCCCTTTCACCTCCCTGTTGGTTTCCTCTTCAGCTGCTGCGTCTCTCCCAACCTGTGTGAGCCCTTTCACCTCCCTTCCGTCCGATGGCAGTTCCCTGACATCCACCTCCCTCCAGGGCCCCCTTCACCCCCTCTCGCCCTCCTCTACGGGCGGTGAGGAGGCAAAACCCCGGAATGAACTTCCTTCATCTTCCGATGTCTCGAACACTTCTCTCAACCTGTTGCGGTTCCTGGTCTCGAAGTACACCTCCTCCTCAGAGTCCATCTCCCTTCCCCTTCCGAGTCCGGGAATCCTTCCAACTCCTCCCCTTCATCAGTGGTCCCAAAGTATTCCCTCCGGAACCTCTCCACAGGCTGAGGTTTCCTTGGGAACCTTTGATGGAACGTTTCTATCAATACCTCGTCATTGATATCTTCAGCCATTACCCAAGTGTTTTCTGACTCCGGTTCTCCTTCCCACGCTACCAAATACTCCACCTGATCCCCCTTCCACCTGGCGTCGAGGATTTCTGCCACATGGCTGCTGCATTCTCTTTCTTCTACGACCGGTCCCCGAGTGGCCAGCCCTTCTCGTCCCCTTCGTACGGTGACAGTAACGACCTGTGAAATACTGGGTGCAGTTTCATGTGGTTGGGTAACCGGAGCCTGAAAGCCACTGGGTTGACCTGTTGAATGACCTCAAAGGGACCCAACCTCCTGGGTCTTAATTTCTTACAACCTCCTTTGAACGGCAACCCTTGGGTTGACAGCCACACCCTATCTCCCACCCTTATGGTTTCACCTTCCCTTCGGTTCTTGTCTGCCTGCCTCTTGTATTCTTCCTTCGCCCTTTCTAAGTTGAGTTGGAGCTGACGATGGATTGCTTCCATTTCTTCCACAAAATGCTCGGCTGCCGGGACGCTCCATCTCTCCCCTCTCCCCTGGGAAAGCCCTGGGATGACACCCATAATTAGCCAAGAAGGGGCTCATCCCTGTGGACACATTCTCGGCATTGTTGTAGGCAAATTCCGCCAGCGCCAACTTTTCTACCCAGTCATTCTCTCTGTCATTGACATAACACCTCAGGTATTGCTGGAGGACACCGTTTGCTCTTTCCGCCTGCCCGTTGGTTTCAGGGTGCCGGGCAGTCACCTCCACCTGCAGTAAGCTCATGAGCTTCCTCCAGAACCTGGAAGTAAATTGTTTTCCTCGGTCTGAGACCACCCTCAATGGCACCCCGTGCAACCTAAAAATGTTTTCTACAAATAACTTCGCTGTCTCTTCCGCCGTGACTGCATGCGAGCAAGCTACAAAGTGGCACATCTTTGTTAGTAGGTCTACCACCACCATGATGGCTGTTTTCCTTTGGACTTCGGCAGATCAGTCATAAAATCTATCGACACTGCCTCCCAAGGTCGTTCTGGGGTTGGTAAGGGTTCTAACAGCCCCGCCGGCGCCCGCCTTTCCCTTTGGCTCGCTGGCATTGCTCGCACCCTCTTACATACTCACGTACATCTTCCCTCACCTTAGGCCACCAAAATTCCCTGGTGACCAACCACATGGTTTTGTGTTGTCCAAAATGCCCCGCCGTAGGGCTGTCGTGCAACTGCTTGAGTACCCTCCCCTTAACTCTCCTTCAGGGATATACAGTGCCCCTTTGTAATACAAAGCTCCATTTCTTTCCTCGAAACCCCTGGTTCCTCTCCATCACCCCTAAGACCTCTGAGCTTATTCTGGGCGTATTCATCATTCTCTGTTTCCTCTACCAGTTCTCTTTGTCCCACCAATGCCGCCCCACACACCCAGCGGTCTTCTGGAATGACATGTCTCTCTTCGGGTGCCCCTCCCCTCCAAATATTCAGGTTTGCGTGAGAGAGCGTCCGCCCTAATGTTCTCTGGGCCTGGCACGTAACTAATCTCAAAGTTAAATTTGGAGAACTCCTGGGCCCATCTCACTTGCCGTTGGTTGAGCACTCGTGCCGTCCTCCAATACTCTAGGTTCTTGTGGTCAGTGCACACTTGCACCTTATGTTGTGCGCCAATTAGCAGGTGCCTCCATCTCCGG